CCCGGGGCCTTGGTGTTATTAGCACCGCACTCTACCGAGTGAGCCACGGGCCGGCCCCAGTAAGGGGATTTTAACCCTTGACTTGGTATTGTCAGCACCACGCTCTCCCAAGTGAGCCAACTGGCCATCCCTATACAGGGATCTGAAGGCTGGCCCTGAGATCTCTTTCTTAACATTTTGTACTTCTTTGTTTTGTACTAAGTATTTCTTAAAAGCGAGGAGGCATGGTATGGAATTCATCTTTGTACAATTCACCTCTATATACCTCATAGTACCTGACACTTAGAACATGTTAAATATATATGCTGAATTGAATTAAGGAACCCCAATTTTCAAAAACATTAAAGATAGTAAGATAAATCAGTCAATTTTTTTAGGAGGGGAAAGATTAGAGCTCAGAAATTGCTCATTTGCTGCATGCTTTAAACTGCTCATACTAACATCTAACTAGATAAAAGGGAAAGGCACAGTCTTACCACTCTTCTTGAGAAGTTTTCCTTTTTGGGATCTATCCAGGTTTTCAAGAAACTGTTCAAAAACTTTCACATAAGGTGCTAGACCAGTCTTCTTATAATCTAAATTATGAAGATTGTACATTATAATTAGCATGTTGGCAGCAAGAACAACAGGAAAATATAATTTTAAATTTCTTGCAAGAATCTTCTAGCATAGTGCTGTCCAATAGAAATATGAGAAGCATATGTAATTTTAAATACTCTAGCAGTCGGACAGTAGTCTAGGTGAAATTAATTTTAATATTTTATTTAACTAATACCTAAAATATTATTTTAACATGAAAAATTGAGTACTGTACACGCTCTTACATACAAGTCTTTGAAATCTAGTCTGTACTTTATACTTAAAGTACGTCTCAGTTCAGGTGCTATATTATAATCAGAAATACTTGATCTATATTTAGATTTAAATGATAAAATATCCAGTTGAAAAAGTAGATTCACATACCCAAGTTCTTCAAACATACTTAAAAATCTTCTAATAATTTTATTATCAGTTTTAAAATTTAAGTTAATTAAAATTAAATGAAAAAATTTTCATTTCTTTAGTTATACTAGCCACATTTCAAGTGCTTAATAGCCACATCTAGCTACTGTATTGGACAGTGCTGCTCTAAAACATTCACCTGTATATATCTCTACTATGGTAGTTAAGCTTTCTAGTATTAGATCAACATAATCTATTACTATGTGTTAAGTCCCATTTAACATTCCTGTCTTTGGAAATTCTGGCTTCAATAATAAATAGTTTTACTAAAGGCAAAACTTTAAAAATGTGAAGCCAGACCATGCCTTCTGGAGACAATCATAAGTTTATAGTCAAACCACATTAAGTACAAGTATTCTTTGACTTATGAAGTAGTCTTAAAAATATATACAACAAGCTTGGCTGATTAGCTCAGTTGGTTAGAATGCCATGTTATAACACCAGGTACCAATGTCATGGGGTTGGATCCCCATACTGGCCAGCTGCTCAAAAAAAAGTACACAACAAAAATTTGAATATACAATTTTATTCATCCACTCAATTACACAATCTATAATTAATACCCAGCAGGGGAAAAATCTGATTGAGAACAAGAAAGGGGTTTAACACGAGATTTGAGTTTTAGTATTAAGTAATGTCTGCATGGAATTAAGTGTTCTCATAAGAAGAGTAAGAAAAACTATACTCTTTTTTTTTTTTCCGTCCTTTTTGAGACCGGCCGCACCGTGCTCAGCCAGTGAGCGCTGTAAGCGCACCGGTCATCCCAATATAGGATCCGAACCCGTGGCGGGAGCGCTGCTGTGCTCCCAGCGCCGCATTCTCCCGAGTGTGCCACGGGCTCGGCCCAAGAAAAACTATACTCTTAAAAAATATTTAGTAAATATTTTCTGACTTACTTGGGACTAGCAAAGAAAACTTGAGAGCATTAAGGATGGATATCTGAACTATGGTAATTATGATAATACTTTATAATTTTGTTCTAAACTTACATGTCATGAATTTTCATATAATGAATAAACTTATACCAAAGAAATAGCTTACTTTGGGATCAAAGTACACAGTACTTTGAACTTTTAATTCAAGAGTATAAGCTCCTTGGATGATGGTCTATATATTTGTTTCACCATTTAGAATACATAATAGGTGCTCAATACTTATTTAAAAAAATATTTACTGACTGCCTATTATATATTAAGTGCTATGCTAAATTTTAAAAAAGTATAAAAAGTTTATACTTTAAAAAAACTTTAAATCTTCCTTCTTCCATTAGTAGGAAGATTTAGAAATTCCTTAGCTCCTCCACATTCTTTAATATACAATTAAATCAACAGTTTAAATATATTCTTACCATAAAACTTATCAGGATCCATCAAAAAAACAAAGAACAAAAGTACTTCATATATAGTATGTATTAATAAATAGCTGTTGAATATAAGAGACTGAGATTCAGTCAACACCAATTATCAACACCAATTGACAATTTTATCTTACAGATCCTAGCATTTATTTTATTTTTTGGTAGCTGGTTGGTATGGGGATCCAATCCCCTGACCTTGGTGTTATCAACAGCATGCTCTAACCAACTGAGTACCAACTGAGTAACTGGCCAAACTGATCCCAGCATTTAGAAGTTGTTTAGTAAATTTCTGCTGAATCAAATTGGATTCAATAACACCACATGAAAATTGATAAAGGACAGAAACGTTGCTATAACATTATTCGTTACCAAGCTGGTTTCAGGGTAAACACTGACCCATTCTGGGCTGAATCCAAGGAGAATTAATTACTGGAGTGACAGACAGATACCTATATAAAAAGTTCATATTTAAGTGAAGCTTCAACATACTAGTGGAGCATCCCTAATCCGAAAATCCAAAATCTGAAATGCTCCAAAATCCAAAGCTTTCTGAGCACCAAAATGATGCTCAAAGGAAAAGCTCATTGGACCATCTTGTCTTTTTTTTTTTTTTTGTGACCGGTAAGGGGATCGCAACCCTTGGTGTGGTGTCGCCTGCACAGCGCTCAGCCAGTGAGCGCACAGGCCAGTCCTATATAGGATCTGAACCCGCGGCGGAAGTGTCGCTGCGCTCCCAGCGCTGCACTCTCCCGAGTGCGCCAAGGGGCCGGCCCTCATTGGACCATCTTGGATTTCAAATTTTTGGATTAGGGACGTTCAACTGGTATGTATTATGAAAATATTACAAAATTCGAAAAAATCCAAAGTCTGAAGTACTTCTGGTTCCAAGCATTTCAGATAAGGGATACTCAACCTGTATTGACCTACCTCTGGTTTTGTGTTTGATATCAGATTCAGCTTCATTCTCCTCTTTTCCCTCTTCATTAGTAGAAATGGCATCCAATTCATGGCAGATGGAGCTATAAGTAACAGAATAAGAGAATTTTTTTTTTTCCTTTTTTCTTTCTTCGTGACCGGTAACAGGATCACAACCCTTGGTGTCACGCCCGTACCACAACCGGCAACGGGATCGCAACCCTCAGTGTCGCGCCCGCACCGCGCTCAACCAGTGAGCCGACCAGTCTCTATATGGGATCCGAACCCTCGGCGGGAGCGCCGCAAATGCGCCACCGGGCCGGCCCAGAATAAGAGAATTTTAAAGTTGCTTCCAGGTAAACGTTAACCCAGTGTATGATAGCACATGAATCCCATGAGGTTTTCTGTGAAAAAAATTATGTGGTCAACTAAATTAGGGATATTCTAAAAACCATGATCTCTTCAAGTTTTCATGCGTATTATCATATTAAAGGCTGGGAAATCTTGTAGTAAGAAAACTTTTAACCTTTTTAAGTCAGCATTTACCAATCTTACTTGACTGTAAAATCTTTTTCTTGCATAACAGTAGCTGAAAAACTTGTATTATTCTATTAGAGCATCATCATTTAACTTTAAAACCAAGTATCTCCACAACAAAATAGGTATACTATTGACATGCAGCTACCTAAGAAGGGATCTAATCCAATCTACTTCCAATTCAGAAAAACAATCACAAACAAATACAGAGTGATCATTGATATGGAATGTACCTTATGGTTGGAACAGTAAATGGGTCAAACTGATCCACTTTCTGTAAATCAATAGGCACAGAAATGCGACCTGTAAGAGCCAAAAGTTAAAAACTGATGATTGTGTAATACAAATCATTATAGATTGTTTCCTACAAGGTATTTTTGGTTAAATTTTTTATCTAAGGCTTAGACTTATCTGTTAAGAACACTTAGAAATATAAATTAAAGTACTTTCACATTAGCTTTGCCTTTTATTTCCCCTAAAGAAACAACAAAAAAACAGGTGAGAAGATTTTAAGCTGTTTCCCAGTTGCTCTTATCTCAACTTCTATTTCTATATTTAGAAATAAAATATGTTTCTATTCCATATTTAAGTTCACAACAGACTCAAATTTAGTGAGTCCTGAAAATAGAACAAAATAGATGGAAATAGTTCATTACATTGGTTTGGTTTATTTGCAAAGATCAAAACAGACACCTATATATTAGACATCTTTAGAAAGTATTTTGGAAATAAAATAGACAATGTTATCCTGCCTTCTTATAATATCCATACCTGGTACACCACATAAAATTCATCACATTTCAAAAATGACACAAAGTAAAGAATCCCAGGTGAGTAACAAGTAAAATAATTAAGGGGATTGGCAATTGCTATTTGAAGATAGAGTAAAACAACTGCAGGTAATTAATATGAGAGGGAAAAGGATATAATCAAAATGTATGCATTTATGAATGAACATAATTATTTACCCAAACCTTGAATATTAGAATGAGGGGATACCTACTCAAGCTTTAGAATTAAGCTTAAAAGAAATAAGAAATATTAAACTCATTACCAAAAGAAGCTGAAAACGTAGCTGACAGGTTTGACATACCTTTATATATGTGTTACATATATGTATTATATATGTATATACATATTACATATGTATTATATATGTATATACATATATAATACATATAAAAATGTATGAGCTGCAGAATCATTGTAGAATATTGAAGGAAACTAGGCAGTTTGGAAGAATTAAATGTGTGCCAGTCACTTTTCTAAGTGTATACCTTCAGGATAACCCATTGAGGTAGATACTATTATTATCACCATTTTACAGATGAGAAAACTGAAGCACTCAAAGGTTAATTTGCCTAAGGTCCCATAGTAAGTGGCAGAGTTGGATTGTTGACACTAAAGAGGACAGCTATATACTTCTCTATTATGTCCCTTGATTGGATGGAGCAAAGCTTTATGCTAATATAGCCACTTTTATATCTACTTTAAAGTCAGTTTCAGTCCATTAAATTTTATGTAAGAGAAATGTGAAAGAGTAAAGCTAAAACTATTAAAAAAAAACTGAGGGAGGAAGCATATTGGAAAAGCAAAGAACTTTGAGTGTTAAGAACTGAACTCTGCTAGTGCTGACAAGACTTTGGACAAGTCACTTTAACCTCTTGGGCCATCGTTTCCTCATCTGTACAATGAGAGCTGTTGTCCCGTGATTTTGAAGGTCCTCTCCAACTCTAATTCTAATTCTAACTCCGAACTTCAGAAAACCAACTGAAAAACAGTTACATAATGGAAACTCATCTGGGAGCTACTTAACAATGTAAAAAAAATAAATTTGGTATTAGCTAGCAGAGCAAATCTTCAACCTTTAAAAATCAAAGACATTATATGAATTCACATCTAATGACCTGCTTGCTAAAACAAAAAATAACTCATTTTTCTTTTAGTTTTCCTTACTTTCTTTACATAGTACCTGTTTTAGGATGAACACTAAATGGGCTCTTCAGTAAATGATTGATTCCTTTGCTGACATTGATATCCAGCCGTGGAAAACAGTATTGGAGCATAATCTCCCACTCTATCCAAGGTCCACATTTGTCATTTTTGATGTTATTCTAAAAGCAAATGCAAGGCCAGCATGAGGATCAGTAGAGACTTTTGAGGATTTCTTTAAAGAAGGTTAAAAAATGATCTTCAACCATCTTTAACTGACTAAATAAAACAACTGACTAAATAAAACAATCAGAATTTAATTACGAATTGTATTATATTTGTAGTACAGATTTCAGTGATATATACCTGACACGTGCCAACTACATTCTTCAAATGCTCCCAACGTTGAAGTGAACTGTGTGACTTTTGGAAGTCTTGTTCAAGTACGTCATGAATTGGTGATGGATCATTAAGGAACATACTCATTTAGGGCATATCAATGAATAACTTAGTTTTCAGTATGTATTACTACAAGGATATCTGAAGCTTATAAATACTTAGAAAATATTTATTAATGTCCTCTAAACCACAAATGTTCAATTAAACATATATCCTTTAATAAATTCCCCTGTAAAAATATAGTGGTGATATACAGAAACAATGCCAAAATAACTATAAGGTGTAATGTAAAGGCTTTCCTCAGTCTGCACATATTTTGATTAAACGATTCACTATTCTTTAGCCATTAATTCTAGGACTAACTTCCAAAATGAAGAAACAGATTTATGAAATGGCCCCATTTCTTATTGTATTTCAGAATACAGACACAAATAGGAAGAAATACAGGATATATTTTGTGTAAAAAAGATTAAACTTAGGGCTGGCCCGGTGGCGCACTGCTGTAGTGCGCTGCTTGGGAAGCGCGGTGGCGCTCCCGCCAAGGGTTCGGATCCCACGTACAGACCGGCAGCTCACTGGCTGAGCGAGGGGCGGGAGCAACACC